GTGTGTGTGTGTGTGAATGCAGGGTGTATTAAAACTTACCAGGTATCTCTCTCTTGCTGCAAGTGAAAACCCACTGTGCATATTCAGTCATATAAAACAGGTCCACAGCAAAGGTGATGTCACTGCAAGGGGAGTTGAAAGAGTTGCCATGGTGACCGGCGAAGGCAGCCGTAGTTTGGTCCTGACTGGGTGGGGTGCTGCTAGAGACACAGTGCACGGCTATACATGTGCGTGTATGTGTTTGTGTTGACACACGTATTGTGTCATTATGTCCCCGTTTAGCACATTTGATTTTCACTAGCGTTTACAGAATCTGTAACAACGTGGGTATGTTTTTGACTAAAGAGAGAGTGTGTGTGTGTGTGTGTGTGGGTGGGTGGGTGTGTGGGTGTGTGTACTCTCTGTGTCATCCAATTACCTGTACACACAGCTCTGAGCTGATGTACACTGAGCTGTCTCATTACGAACAGTAAAAACAGAACCAGAGGCTATTACACAAACCTGTTACAGCACAGTAAATAGTCCACAGCTCAGTTTGTGTCTCGAGCCCTGCTCTCCAGATAATTGGAGTCTGGAGGAATGCATTGTGCATTTGTGTTGGTAACCATGTAATGTTTTATTGTAGGAAATGATCTGCCTGTGTGTGTCTTTATAAGTTCATGAGATAAGAACATACATGCAGGGCCTCTCCACTTCATCAGGGTGGTCATCAGATGAAAGAAGGACTGTGTGTGAGCGCTTTCTGATTGCAGCCAGAGTTTCACAAAGACACAATGTCACAAAGGCATGCACAAAACATGAATGTAATCAAGACTTGATAATTCATTATTGAGAAAATGTATGAAAGTCTGCTTTTAATGTGGGCGAAGTTACATTATTGCCAATGCTAAGCTTGTAATGCCTGTTTCAGTGAGGACATTTTGTTAAATAAGAGCCTGTGTTGTAATTTGTCTTTCTGGTTAAAAAAAAGTCAACCAGTTTACCTAAAACTGCTGTGTTTTCTCTGCCCAAATCCTCAGTTATTGTAACTATTCCAGTCTGCAAGTATTCACTCTCTGGAGGTTCGGATGAGGTGGAGATGCTGAAATGAAATTTCGGCTTGCAGAACACATTATCGAATGTCTGTATAACTCAATATTGAATCAAAATCCCTGATGAAATCAAACCCTGGATGGCTGGAGCTGCACATAGAGTAATATGTATCCGATCCCAGACAGTAAAGCAATCTTGCCTGTGCTGGTTGAGTTTTCAGTCACTGAAATATAACAGAAATATTTACTGCAGATGAACGTTGCTGCAAATGTTATTGTCCTTAGGTGGCTGTCAGTTAGAGCAGAAGAAAGATTCCTCTCAGTTTCTACTCCTAACAAACCGACAACAAACCCATCTATTCATTCTGCACATATTTATCTCACTGTGGTGTGAACTACATGTGAACTACTGTAGTTCAGTTGTTCCAAACCAGGGGTATGAAAGATGGAGTAGCTCAGCCAATTTGCAAAAAATGTAAAGTTTATTAGGTAGGCTGCACCTAACTAAAACCAATACAGCAATGTTGCAATAAATCCTTCATGAAGGTTATAATGTTCAGTTTGAAACGGTTTTAGAGAGGCGTTGATTACATTTTATGATTATTTTGGAGGATGTAGTTTGTGGTGTGTTGAACTGTGTGGCATTATACAGGGAGAAGTTTACCCTACTGTCACTGAAATGGTTAGTTAAAAGTAATGCTAAACCCTATGCCGCTGCCCAATTGGCATGGCACATGTCCAACTCTCAACAGAGATGAAAAGGAAACAACATTAGCTATTTCCATCGATATGTTTATGTAGAATATCATTGATTAAGCCTTGTGAAAAAACGTTTTAATGTCTTCTGGATGCAGTCTAATGAAGTATGTGATATGGTGACTTACATGGACCATATATGTGTATATATATGTAGTAACAGCAGGTACAGTTTGAAGATAACTTAGCTAACGTTAGCATAAACACCAACGTTAAAAAAATAAAATAAAGTAATGTATAATTATTGATATTGATAACTGAAGTAATTCTAGATAAACAGTGAGCCAGTTCCCGTCTCATCTCCGTTGATTTGAACATGCAGTGAGGAGATATGAGACAGCAACAGCCTAACTATTGAAACAATTAGCTAGTGGTTAAATACAGATAAATTGTTATGATAGCCAAAATAATTGTTAGCTAAAATAAATTAATAGTATTAGTAAATTAATAAATAAATGATTAAACCAGTAGGCTAAAAGTATTGATATAAAACGTTGAAACAATTAGCTAAAAGTAATGCTATAAACCTCCGAAACAATTAGCTTGTAGTTAAATAATAGATTAAACAGTTTGTTTTTTAAGAGTGATGCTGAATGGTTATGGTAACTGAAAGTAATTGTAGCAAAAATAAATGGATGAACAGTTAGTTAAGGGACAAATGGTGGAAATAGCGGGTTGCCCTCCATGGATAAATGGTGAATAGTTAACTAGCTAAGAGTCTAATGGTTGAAACATCCAGCTTCCGCTAGTCCCAGTGGTAACAGTATGAATGCAGACACAACCAAATCAACCTAAAAACTGACTGTTCAATTGTGTGAAACAATTATTGTAAAAATATACAAGTTAATCCAGTTATAAGTCAGAAAAGGTTGTGAACTTTCTCCCTCCTTTCTTCCTGGTAGGTCTAATGGCTGATAAGACGGAACTGCCTATTGAGGAGGAAGAGGATGAGAGAAACTTAAACTACAATCCTCCGGCCCAGAAGTCTTTGGAGGAGATTCAGGAACTGGACAAAGACGACGAGAGTCTGGTCAAGTACAAGCAGACCCTCCTGGGGCTGCTACCAACTATGGCAGGTGTGTGTGTGTGTGTGTGTGTGTGTTTATTGAGGTGATATAAGAGCTGGGGATTCACCCTGCTACCCAGTGTTACTGCAGCTTTAATAATACCATTCGCTCAATATAACGACTTGGTGCATAGTTCCTCGCAGTCATCAACTACTGATCAAACACATACACACACACACACAGGAACAGACCTGCTTGCCTCAGCATCTCTAATCCAGCAGCCGGGCCATGACAGCTGATATCAGTAGAATAGCTCCCCCACAGCTGTAAGTCAAAACCAGCTCATCTGCATCTTAGTAACGTTATCAGCTGGAAGGGTTGTAATGAGGGAAAGGAAAAGCAGAGACGAGAGGAATTTATTGTCAAACAGCCAGTTATCTTTTTAATCCGTCCATGCTGAACCCACAATACTAGTTGTGCACAGTCACTTTGGTCTCCATATCAAATGTCTATTATAATGTCTATTATATATATTTAATATTTTAACATAACACGTACAAGCTAAAAGCAAGCATTAGTATCATCTCGCCATCGTAGCTGTTCTACGTGCTTCTAGGAATGTCCTTGTAGCTGTCCCCAATTTGGTCCAGACTGACTAACTAGATGGATTGCTATATTTTTTTTTATACATTCAAGGTTCTCAGAGGATGAATAGATAGATAGATAGATA